GCAGGCTCCGCCGCCCCAGGAGGTTCAGCAGGGGAAAAGGCACACAGACACAATCAATCGTCGCTTCCCCAGAAAATATGCGAACATATGGGCAGTGGGGGGGAAGACAGAAACCCGGACAAGATCGGAAAATATGGGGCATCCTTTTATCTGTGTGTATTTATCTGTGTGTCCCAGGGCCCCGTCAGCTCCGCCGGCCCCGGAGGTGCTCCGCTCCGGCGCCCGGGAGGAGCAGGGGCAGCTGCGGGCGGCCGGGGCGGAGCTGGAGCGGCGCCTCGCCGAGGCCGCCTCCAGCCAGGCGGGCCGCCGCCCGCGCCGCCGCCGAGGGGCGGGGGGGGGAGGGAGCGGGGGCGAGGGCGAGGAGGAGGAGGGGGAGGACGAGGGCAAGGGGAGGATGGAGGAGGACGAGGGCGAGGAGGAGGAGGGGAGGAGGAGGAGGGACGAAGACGAGGACGAGGACGAGGGCGAGGAGGAGGAGGGGGAGGACGAGGGCGAGGGGAGGACGGGGGAGGTGTGCCAGCGGCACCTCCGGCGGTGGCGAGGGGCACGTGGGGAGAGCTCTGCAGCAGCGACGGTCATGGGGGGGGGTGGCGCGGTTTCTGGCCAGCTTTACCAGGAACGGCCCCAGGCCATCGCGTGCCACTCCTCATTCTGCGACTCCGAACGCGCGGCTCCACCGCCTGGGGCACCCAAGGGAGGCGGCGAATGTGGACCCAGTGGGCAACACATGTCCATGTCCACCGCCCCCCTGGGGTCCCCGGACATCGGTTCCTCAGTGGGTGCACATGGGTGAATGCCCGCCTTGCCGCCGTTGCCATCGTTTATGCCGCTGTCGTCGTCGTCGTCGTTGTCGTCGCCGTCGTCGAGCAGGGCCAAGGTAGGGCGCTTTATTAGGCTTTATGGACCTCCTTGGGCGTCGCCGTCCGTGGCCCTTCAAAATACTGCCAGACGCGAGGTCTGGAGGTCTGGGGGTCGTCGTCGCCATTACCGTTGTCTACAGAGTCTGCGGTCGAGCTTCGAACAGAAGCCGCCGCTCCCTCCGCTGTTTGCTTCTTCTCTGCTGTCCTCGGTCCTCTCTTCCGAGGCTGCTGCTGCTGCTGCCTACTTTCTTCTTCTCCTGCCTCTGTGTGGCGTGGGTGCGCGTCCGTGTTGGTGGATGTGTGTGTGTGTTTGTGTGTGATTGTGTGTGTGTCCTTCTCATCTCGCCCGTCGTTCCTCTCCGGCGTTCCCCCTTCATGCCGTTGCCGGGCTGCGGCTAGGATAAAGTTGTGGTTGGTTTCTGACTCCTCTCCCAAGCGCACCGGTTGCTGGGAAGGTGGTAATTACCTGTGCAGGCCGTCGTGATTAGTTTTCCTTCGGACGGTCCTGCTGTGGGTCAGAGGTCTCCCCTGCGAGACCGCAGGTTATCGCCCTACGTGGCAATGCGAAGCTCCTTCCATGTCTCATTTCTTTACGCCGCAAAACCGCCAGTCAGGAGCCAATACTGAGGATCGCAAGCGTCTCGTTCCGCTCCGTTCCTCCTCTCCCCTCCACCTCCTCTCCGCCTTCTTGCGCCGCCTCTTGCTCTGCCCCCTCATCCGTCCGCCTCGCTCTTGTTTTTCCCCTCCTCCCATCCCGCACTGCTGGAGCGCGCTGGTGGCGTGAGGGGGGGGCAGAAACTGCTCCCCAAAGAGAGCGGGCAGAGTTTGCCGTCTGGCTGCTCTCCCGCAGGCCGAGCTGCAGGCGCAGCTGGCGCGCGAGCGCGAGGAGCGCGAGCAGCAGGGGCTCAGGCCCATCCGAGGGGCGGTCACGCTTCTCTTTAGTCGGGCATGTTCCTCAACACGCGGAATTTTCAGGAACTGAAGAAGTGGGCACGGGGCGATTGATCGTGCTCTTTTGACAATTTGTGATTTGTTGATTTTGCTCTTTTGACTATTCAAATTGTTCCTTTGAAGCCCGCCTGTAGGAGGACATGCCCGATCTAACGCTTCCCCCGCCGTCTCGCCCCCCTCCTGCCGGCCTGCGCCCCGTACAGCCACTTGCTTGGCATCGCTCGGACGTGCTGCTTTTCCATATTTTTCCTGTGGCGAGGACCACTGAGGAGCCTCTCGGATCGCTTCCGAGCAAAAATTAGCCGCACGACGCCGAAGCATGCACAGGGAATCGACGTCCGAGCGATGGCGAGCCCGTCGGCGGTCTTCGGGGAGGGGGCCCTGAGGGCTGGGCCTCATAGGCAGGGCATAAGTGTCCGCCCGGGGCCCCCTCCACCTCTCTCGGGAGGGGAAGAGCCACACAGACACGAGCCCTCGTCGATTCCCCAGGAATATATGGGAAAATATGGGGGAAGGGGGGGGAAGGCGAAAACCCAGAAAATATAAGAAATTCATTCGGAATCCTGTTATGCGTGTCCATGTATTTGTCTGTCCCAGCCCTCGGGGCTCTCCACCCCTGCCCCGTCTTCGGGCCGCCGGAGCGTGCCTCGGGCTCCGAGGCCACGGCTCCTGGCTCGGGGGCGGATGCCTTCCATGGGCCCCTGGAGGCGGCGGATTGCTGGTCCCCTCGGGCCCCGAGGAGGGGAGCCAGCGGCATCCACATCGGGCGGGCACGAGCGACATGGGTCCTACCCTCCCTCCCTCCCTGCGTCCTCCTTCTGTCTCCTCCGCTCCCTTCTCATCCTCGACTTCTTCCTCCTCCTCCTCCTCCTCCTCCTCCTCCTCCTCCTCCTCCTCCTCCTCCTCCTCCGCCGGACCTGATGCGGCGTCGCGGGGCTTTCGGGGAGGCGGGGCCCTTCCAGGCCTCGCAGGTCTGCCGACGCGCTGGGGCCGCGTCTCCTGACCAGTAATCCGACCAGCACCCTGGGAGCCCACGGCGACCTTGGTCTGCACGAACGAGATGGGCACGGAAAGAATGGGTACAATGCCCAACAGCAGTTCCTGCTCATTCTGCACAGGACTCGCTGTCGGTGTCGCCGCGGCCGGTGTCCATTTGTGACAGAAGGCCGCCTGCCCAACAGCGGCCGCTGTTGGTTTGGGGCAACATTTGTTGTTGGGCATTGTACCCATGCTTTCCGTGCCCATTTCGGGCGTCCAAATCGGGGAGTTGGCGGGAAGCAGTCGGGGGGTGTGGGGTCTTGGGGGTCATCTTGAGCGGTGGGCCCGGGGCGCGCTCTGAGGCAAACAGCCATGAGCAACCTGGAGGTTGTCCGGTGTTTCAGGGGCCCAGTGAGGTCAGGCGCCAGGCCTAGAGATGGCCGGGAAGGGCCTGAGATAGCCCGAGAGTTTTGCAAGGTTTGGGCGTGCGCCTGTCAGAACCGAACATCGAATCTCAAAGATTAATGCTGCATGATTTGCGAATTGCAGGTCCCCGCCAGCCCGTGTCGTCTCCCTACCCAGACATCTGGCCGCTCCAATTGTTGTTGATGCGTGTGCCCCAGAGGTTCGCACGTCGACCTGCAACACGCGACCTGCAACACGATATCCAGTCCTCAGTTACAGGTCACCGTGCCACCGACATCTCATCTCGATGTGCAATTATGATTGCATGTATATGTGGATTTAGATATGCATTTCGGCAGGCATACGGTCTGCACGTGAAGTTCGGTTTTCTCCACGAGACATTCGCGGGACAGTTTGTGGGAAGCCCTCGGGACGAATCACGGCACAACCCACGGAACAACCACGGGACATCCGCAGGACGACCGCTGGCTAGCCAATGGGACAACCCACGTAAGCATTCACGGGACAACCACGGGACAATCCACGTGACAACCCACCGGGCAAATCTCCCGGCAACCCACGGGACGACCCAACCCATGGGATTAGCCATGGGACAACACGTAACCCACAGGATACTCCCCGGGATTTTTCCAGGTCAACACACGAGACAATCATGGGACAACCACACACCACGGAACAACCGCGGGATAACCCAGGGCGTCGACGGGACAACCCACGCATGGCAGCCGCGGGGACAACCACGGCACAGTCAACGCGGCAAGTGCCAGACAACCCACGGGACAACCACGGGACAGCCCACGGGACAACCCATGGGACGACCCACGAGACAGCCACGGGACAACCAACAGGTCCACCAACGTTGCAACACATCGTACAAACCCGCGGGCAATTGCGCGGCCGAGTCACGACCGAAAATCTCTGAATTGGTTCTTTATGTGTTGATTGACTTGGGCGTTCTTAGAAGGCGTCCCAGCTTTTGCGCTAATATCTTGGAGGCTTCTTGGGGTCCTTTCGGCGCCTCTTGTTTTGTTCTTGTTCGCTGTCGGGTGCCTCTTGCGGCTATGTTGGTCCATCTTGGAGGTTGTGATGGTGCACACGGGTAACATGACGCGGTGCACGCGAGTAGAGGGAGGCCCTTTAGAATATTACAGAAGTGCCACTAGACAGCACATGGCTTTCTACCATACATCAGGGCAGTGCAAGGGGACGTGGTGGCGAATCCTTTCGAATGAATCATGATTTGCCGCCGTCTTGTGATGCACTGCGCTAAGATAGGCTCTATGACATGTTTGAGTGTCTTTCGGCACAACGAAGAGGGTTCATACATCCATTTCCCCAAGGATGTGGGCGGGGAAGCATAACAGGAGCGGGATGTGGAGGGATAGGAAAAGACTGAAGCAGAGGATAATGGGAAAGATGTGGGGTTGCATTGGGGGAAACAACGAGATGAACCACATTTGGGGCAGCTCGCTTCCCAAAGTCGAGCGCGGCCTCCTGGGTGAGGGCGATCACTGCAAAGAGTGATCATGAAGCATTCGCACGTCAAGCTGCCTGCTGAACATGTCGTCCGTACGGATCCTTGTGGGCAGTTTTGGCATATTCGTTGCAGTTTGAGCACGTCGGTGAAAGGTTTTTCTGTGCCCCGTCCATGTGTGCATTCGCGGGGGCAGCCCGGCCCTCCCACTTGCGGGCATCTAAAGCTCTTCCCTCTGATCTCTTGGCCCTTGGCTCAAGCTTTTTGGTTGGGCACACAGACAGCAGTCTGGGTCAACTCCCACGGCGACCATGCAGCCCTCCGCCCCTCAGCTCGCCGAGGCACGGGCGTATGAGCTCAATATTTTTGACAACCCGTCGATCTGGAGCGTTGCAGTCCTGATCCCGCTGAGCCTCCACATTTGCTCCAATCCGAAGAGTAGCCTGGGAGCTGTGATGTCGATTCGGCTGTTGGTAGTCTTGTGCATGAATTTCGTGCAGAAGGAGTCGGTGATGGCCTTCCCACCCTGGTTCCTCCTCTTGTACCAGATGGTGCTTCAAGTTGTTTTGATCTCTGCGTACAACTATCGCCAGCTGTCATGCGGCAAACGAGGTGATCTTGTCAAGTGGCTCTTGTGGATGACACCTTTCTGGGTCGCCCAGCTGTTTACGTCAATTTGTGGGTTGAAGTCGACCTCTGTTTCCACCTTTCAGGTAATCCGGAGTTTGCTACCACTCATGTCGTTTGGTATGGAGAAGGCTACCCAAGGCATTCCCGAGCATGTCTCTGGGCCACTCATGAGCTCAATGTTGTTGGTCATCGTAGGCACGGCCATGTACAGCTACACCAGTGTCTCGGTAACGCCAGCCGCTTTCATCTGGATCTTCAGCAATTGCGTGTTCACGGTGGTGGCTACTGTGTTCCGCAGTTGGTTCCTGAAAGACCCGAATTTCACGCTGTCGATCCCCTTTGCACAGACCTCGGTCAGCACCGCCGCAATACCGTTTATCTGTATTGCTGCAGTCCTCACGGGCGAGGTGTACCAGTGGCCCACCGTCTTGCAGGACACGCCGGCCACCGCGTGGTTCTGGGCCACGATGTCGGGACTTGTCGCTGGGTGCTTCTCGTTTTTGCAGTTCCGATGTCAGGGGATCATCTCAGGGACGTCGGACCTCATGTTCCAAAATTGCGTCAAGGTGTTCATCATCCTGATGGGAATCGCGATGTTCGCGGACAGGTTCGACATGAAGTCCCTCATCGCGTGCTGCACCGCCCTGGGTGGTTGCGCATGGTACGGGTATCTCCGGCAGGGCGAGAGAAAGGAGGGCACCAAAGCATTGGGGTATTGGAAAGCACCTTTGATCGATGTCAAAGAGCGCAACGGCCAAAAGTAG